CCCCTTAAGCTGGCTTCCAACATTTCCTGCACTGCTAAGCACTGCTGCTTGATTGCAATCTGGTGTCAAGGAGAAAAGGAGAGGAGGGAAGAGGAAGAAGGAAGGGGAGGAGAGGAGAGGAGAGGAGAGGAGAGGAGAGGAGAGGAGAGGAGACAAGAGAAAAGGAAAGGAAACAAGAGGAAAGAGGTGGACTTCCTTAGGAAATGTAACTATGCAATTTCAGCCATTAAGAGTTCAAAGGTCAACCTTTACATCTTGTTAACCTGACAGTATTGAAAGCAAGGTCATCTTTATATAACAGAAGTAGTGTTTAATTACTCTCAAGGACAGATCATTTTGACTCTCCGGTGTATATTGTGTTGCCTAATGGTTAAACCACACATTTTATTTTATTTTCTACTTATCTATTGCTTAAAAGCAACGTGCCAATGTGAGAATTGTATTTTTATTACTAAAACACTTGGAAGTAACTGTCAAACAATATGCTGTCTTTTTGTCTTCTAATTAACTTTTTTTTTTCTGGAGCACTGCTCTCCAGTTGCCAGAAAAAAAACAATCCACCAGGATTACTCCAGAAAGTTTCGCGCAATGTTTCTTTTTTTAAAACCGATTTCAGTGTGTTGCATCTATCCCATAGAATATGCAATCAGACTGTCAGACATGAAATTAGGACCTCGGGTAGATCACAATCCTAAAGAGCTGCGAGTTAGCACTAGAAAGAGTATATATAGCACTTGTGAGAGTGCAGTAAGGTGGAAAAAAAAACCCCTGCACAAGACAAAATGAGAAGAGAGTGAAGACAAGTAAAACAAAGACAGAGAAGGCAGTGCTTCTTAGTTTTAGCCATGTTTTTCCCTCCTACCCCGTAGATACAGATAACATGAATAATTTTGTGACTTTGTTGGGAAAACTTTTTAAAGTGTGGCAAGGCAGACTGGAGGTGATAAATTATTCAAATGTTTCATCGGAGCCATGCCGCTTGCGTAGGGCAAGTCTCTATAATATGCATGTAAGAAGACGTGATGAAACAACTCCATAAACAGTAGAGAATGAGAGAACGTTTGGGGATTGTGAGGGAGGAGAAAAGGGTGATGCAGAGACAAGTGACTTTGACTTTACATAGGCATTCAGTAGGACTCTATAATATATAGATCTAAAGGACTCTCAATGAAATAGCGCTGTGTGATGTGGGAACCGGTTGGGAGCAGAAAAGGAGGACAGATTAGGCGCTAGATAAGGAAGACAGAGTGAAAAACAGAGGAAAAAAACACTGAGTGAAAGAGAAAGACGTATGAGCAGGATGGAGGAAATGTTAAGAGTCCTGTCATTGTGAGGGCATGTGTTTGTGTAAGAGGCAGGGAGAGGAAGAATGTCGATTTAACAGAGAGAAGTCCAAACATTAACAATAAATGCAGAGGGCACAGTTTACTTTCTCGTTAGGTACCAAGGGAGAAATAAAATATGCATTTCAAAAAGAAAAATTTCTGCTCCGTGTTACATCAATGACGCGACAGAGAAAACCTGCACATCATATGTTAGCCCAAGCTGAACTAAACCTGCTTTATTTGTTTCTCCCCTGCGATCCTCTTTAAATCCGTCAATGCGATATATGAAACTAGACCTGACATTGTCAGCACCGGGGTAAATAAACATGACCTTTAAATACCTCAAACATTTCAGACTTCTGCATATTGTGATAATTTTCTAACATATGACTCGAATTAAGACATGGTATGTATATATGATAGAGAAAATATTAATTTAGGTACTCAAAAATGTTTAGGTCTGGTATCCATTGTGTCATTGTTCACGTGTTCGTTGTGGACATTACTGGTGATGGAAGCTGTGTTGAACGGCAATCTTTCCAAATGCAAATGAATAAATAAATAAAATCAAACATGGTTATATATGGGGATTATATTTCGCATAATATAAATCTTTCTCTTGTACCGCCCTGTGATCCTTCCCAGTGAATCAAATCAAACACACTCAAACTGCTGCATAGCTAACAAAAGCTAGCATCTAACTAGCATACGTGGCTGATGTTGACTTCAACACAACCTCCTCACTAGCTTTCTGTGGCTTTTGACCAAATATATTTGTCAGAGTTCATGCTTCTTTTGTCTTTAGGGTGTAGTGAAACGGCGAGGCTGAAAGAAAAATAGGCTAAAGACGTGTCTTTGCTGTTGCTTTGTCCAAGCAGGTGAATATAACAGCAATCAATCACTGGAGGAGAACATCAACAACCGCTCCATCGTCTGAAAACGCAGCTGTCTTTTTCTTATTCGTGACTGACGTCATTTATACGTCATCAGTGTTTCTGCAATTGTTCCCCCTGCCAGTGGAGGGAGCAAAAAAAAATCCACACTGCATGTTTAGCTGCTAGGTTGTTTTACTAGTGTACAATGACCTCTGACTGCACAGTAGCCTAATTCAGCATGCTAAAATAATATGATTATAATATTTTTTTTTTTTTTAACCACGGCCTAATACAAGTCTGTTTATCTTTTCCATTTTTGCTTTAAATAAGAGTACTTTTACACGAGTTCAGTCTTTCAGCATACCGTCCCTGCCCTGTTGTTCACATTGAAATGTGTGTTCCAAAAGCAAACAGTGCAAGCACTTCAGACTGAATTCTTTTAAACCATTTGCCTTTTGTCATCCGGACACAACAAAGTAATTGGTTCTCTCTGCGTTGTACCCCAATTACACTCAGCTCTCAGTGGCCTACCTCATCCTTCTCTCCGAGCATGGCCCATTTCCTGCCTCATTTTATATCTTAAGAAGTCCATATGAGCCGAAACAAAAACAAGGCGCGCATTAAGCCACATCAGTAATGAGTGGAAACCCTCAGAATGGCTCTTTTTCTTTGGTCTGTTTCCTGGACTGACTAAGAGGCATGTGATCATACTCACAGCAGTATATGCTGAATGCATTTAGTTAGTGAATAAAATGGTCGAATACCTTCTCTAGTTTTGGAAGGCACGAAGGGCAAAACACTGTACCAAAATGCAACAAAATAAAAATTTAATGAGCTATTGCCTCACTTTAAGAAGAATGAGAGACTGACTCGTGCAGTTAAGCCAGTTAAATTATTTCTTGACTTCACTGAGTGACGGAGTGAAGCGAGGAGGAAAGTAAAAGTGCGGAGCAGCATTGATTGTATGTATTTATCCCCCGCTGGTCAGCAGTCTGGCTTGTTGCTGTGCACTGGAGGTCATTCTTCACATTGAATCTCCATTGATCTCCTCTTTAGAGCCTCCTGAGACACCCCGAGCTCTATTATGAGAGTGTTCACACTCACCAATAAACACGAATGCACGCTCATGAATAGAGAAATAAACCCGTACTGTAAGTACATTAGCACATGGGTATGGATATTATTATGCAAGTCTAAACATACACATAAGCATATTTTTACACCATGGCCCCCTTCCACATACAGCACACTGATCGGTAGAAACCAAGTTTAATGCTGCCTCTCTCTATAATTTCTTGTACTGTGCCTCCTAACTGCTTGTAAGAGCATGCGTTAATTCAGACATCATTTAATAAGACATGCAGCCAGACTGCCTTGACCACTCCATAGAAAGGTGCTGAAAGGCAATTACGCTGGGCAAATAGCCCTTCAGGCTCCAGGGGCCTAAGCCCTTCCATCCAGAGGGAAGGAAGAGGGGAGGGTGTACTCTAACCTCACACCAGAGTTATATGAGTCACCCTCGGTTAGATAGACAGAATTCCTAGTGCTTTTAAACAGATACAGCAATTCTATTTAAGGTGACTCATTGTTAACCCTAATGAGTCACCTTATCAGCTGGATTTATGACCCTGTATCGAAATGCTTTGACCTTTATTTGACCTGATCCATGTATGACCCCACCCCCTACGCTTAATCATGTAAAGAATTGTGATTGCATCTGTTATTTCTGACAGGAAAAAAAAACACAAAAATGAACCAGGTTTGCGGTGCCCAAAGAATTTAAAAGCTGCACTGGCTGGAAAAAGTGTCCTTTTGTGTACTCCGGTGTCAGGCTGTAATCATCTGCTGTAATACAAACAACCTGTCTCTCAAGACATATATCTATTAAAATTTAAACTGCTTTTGTCTTTTAAAAGTAATAGTTAGCTTTGCGCTTTAGCACTGACACAGGGAAATTGCAGATTTTAGTCAGTTTGCATGGTGAGAACATTTGGGAGCAGATACATATGAATGGATAAAAAGCAAACAAAAAAGTGCATGTAATGGCTTAAAGTGTGTTCAGATTGTCATCTTATATGGATGTGAAAGCACCATCAGTTCCCCCGTCTTCCACATACTCCTGGCTCCACTCAAGAGGAATGCATTATGATTTGTTAAGCAGCTGGGGAAACTAAAGAGAAAGCTGGCAAGTGGTACATTAAGAGCCACAAGGCATTTACGGCATTACATCATTGGAGATAGTATTCTTCTAAAGGTAGAGATCAAGGTAGCCTTTATGATATCTTTCTCATTTACGCGTAGAGGAATCTACTGCCATCTGACATCCACAACTTCAGTGGCAGTGGTATATGTAGGACCAGCTGTAAACGTTTTTCTTTTTTGACTTCTGAAAACATGCAGATATCACAAGTGGGGTGGTGGAGGAACAGTCGTAATTGAGAATCATGACAGCACAGATGGTGCTTTCCTTTTTCTTCCTCTTCAAGTTATTTTGAACAATTAATTATTGGAGGCAGATTACTGCCTATAAGTATTCCTTATGTCACAAGAAAACTGTTTTATTTTCTTTAATGTTAGCATTAAAAAAGCCAAGGTAGTTCACTCGAAGATTTAAAAGAAATCACATCACGGGCTAGTCATCACTTTCAGTACCAAAGACATTTTCTAACCGCCATAATTTTCTTCTGGCTCACACATATAGTAACGTGAAATTGGAAATCATTAAGGGAAGATGAAAAAACGAGGTGGAGTGATGAGAAAGAGGTAGAGAAGGGAATCTTAGACTTTGGCTTGGACCTACCATTGTTGCCGAAGTCGAGCGAGTACTTGACCACGTGGTAGTTATTCCACACATACAGCAGGTTGTCTCTAGGGTTGTAATCCACTGCAGCTATGTACTGGTAGGAATTAGGGAAGGGTATGTTAACCGTCATTTCTTTCCCCTTATCAGTGTTGTACATGTAGTCAATCTTGTTCCCCGTGCCTTCGTTGTCATCATCTTCATAGACGGTTTTGACAACATAAAGGACTCCGCAGATCATGAACGCATTGGAGGCAGAGCGCTTGTCGTAGCTCGTGTCCCAGGAGCCTTCGATGCGCAGGGTGTAGGGATTGAGCTGGCTCACCACGATGCGCCCATTGTTCTGCTCCGTTGCGTAGATCACCCACAGACCGTTCTCATCCACCGCCAGGTCAATGTCCGACTTGCCCCCCCAGCGGTAGGGCGACGTGTCGTGGTAGTTGGCGTTGGCAATAATCGCCTCACCGCTCTTGATGCGCGTGCGCAAGTCAAACTTTACGATGTTGCGGGTCCGCTCCTTGTTGAAGAACAGCGCACCGTCATAGACGACAAAGCCAGTACCGTCCACGCGATGCGGCAGTTTGTATGTGGTGGTGGGACGGCCTGCGATGAAGTCCTCCTTCGATGAATACTCAGTCAGCGTGTCCGTGCGGTATGGTGTCCAGGGCATGTAGTAGATCTTGTCAGAGGCCTGCAGCGGGTCTTTGCACCAAGCACCAGACTGATGGTCCGATTCAAAGAGATGTTCGCTTTGGTAAACTCCCCGAAGAATGCCGGGGCACAGAAACACTGAGGAACAAAAGAAAACATTTTCACATTAGATAAGTTTAAATTACACGGCTGATGTAAAATGTCAACTGTTCTCAGTAGAGTTCCTGACAGAGCTTTTGAAATGTTTGCCTCCATTCATACGTGTTTCTAAAAAAACATAACAGAGTATTTTAACTTAACCACCGGTGAGTGATGATGACATGATAGGCTTACTGTGTTGTGATTTGGATGTTGTATAGTCACTGTCATTGTTAAGCACAGCAACAGTATGCCTTCTATTCAACAGATAATACGATGCTCTCACAGCGAAAAGATGAAGAGAAAATGGCACATTTTGTTCTACTTCCACCCTTTCCCTCTATTCCCATTTCTCCCTCCCTCCTCAGCTCCTCATTAGTCTCACAGCTCTTTCTTCCTTTCTCTCCCTTTCTATTTCTGTCAGGAACAACCAACTGTAGAACCAAACACATCTTTTATCGTCTGCTGTTTTTGCAGTTGTTACAATAATTCTTTTCCCACTCCACGCTCACTATTCTCCTCTTGGAATACTGGGGTCATGTTTTATGAGGGATGTGGGAGAAGTAGTAAATTCTGGGAAGCCAGTGCGACAAGAGTCATTGGAACCTTTGTAATTCAACTGGAATGTTGTCACATAAGCATGCATATATAAAAACTTAAACACCCAGCACGCCCCTGCGGGCGGTTTATCCTTCAAGCTCGGGTCCTCTACCAGAGGCCTGGGAGCTTGAGGGTCCTGCGCAGTATCTTAGCTGTTCCCAGGACTGCGCTCTTCTGGACAGAGATCTCCGATGTTATTCCCGGGATCTGCTGGAGCCACTCGCCTAGCTTGGGAGTCACCGCACCTAGTGCTCCGATTACCACGGGGACCACCGTTACCTTCACCCTCCACATCCTCTCGAGCTCTTCTCTGAGCCCTTGGTATTTCTCCAGCTTCTCGTGTTCCTTCTTCCTGATATTGCTGTCATTCGGAACCGCTACATCGATCACTACGGCCGTCTTCTTCTGTTTGTCTACCACCACTATGTCCGGTTGGTTAGCCACCACCATTTTGTCCGTCTGTATCTGGAAGTCCCACAGGATCTTAGCTCGGTCATTCTCCACCACCCTTGGGGGCATCTCCCATTTTGACCTCGGGACTTCCAGGTTATACTCGGCACAGATGTTCCTGTACACTATGCCGGCCACTTGGTTGTGGCGTTCCATGTATGCCTTGCCTGCTAGCATCTTGCACCCTGCTGTTATGTGCTGGATTGTCTCTGGGGCATCTTTACACAGCCTGCACCTGGGGTCTTGCCTGGTGTGATAGACCCCAGCCTCTATGGATCTTGTACTCAGAGCTTGTTCTTGTGCTGCCATGATTAGTGCCTCTGTGCTGTCTTTCAGTCCAGCTTTGTCCAGCCACTGGTAGGATTTCTGGATATCAGCCACCTCCTCTATCTGCCGGTGGTACATACCGTGCAGGGGCCTGTCCTTCCATGATGGTTCCTCGTCTCCCTCCTCTTTCTTGGGTTTCTGCTGCCTGAGGTATTCACTGAGCACTAGGTCAGTTGGGGCCATCTTCCCAATGTATTCTTGGATGTTCCTTGTCTCATCCTGGACTGTGGTGCTGACACTCACCAGTCCCCGGCCCCCTTCCTTCCGCTTAGCGTACAGCCTCAGGGTGCTGGACTTGGGGTGAAACCCTCCATGCATGGTAAGGAGCTTTCTTGTCTTTATGTCAGTGGCTTCTATCTCCTCCTTTGGCCAGCCTATTACCCCAGCAGGGTACCTGATCACGGGCAGGGCGTACGTGTTGATGGCCCGGATCTTGTTCTTACCATTCAGCTGACTCCTCAGGACTTGCCTGACCCTCTGCAGGTACTTGGTGGTTGCAGCCTTTCTAGCGGCCTCTTCATGGTTCCCATTTGCCTGCGGGATCCCCAGGTACTTGTAACTGTCCTCTATGTCTGCAATGTTGCCTTCTGGTAGTTCAATCCCCTCAGTTCTGACTACCTTCCCTCTCTTTGTTACCATCCGACTACACTTCTCCAGTCCGAATGACATTCCAATGTCATTGCTGTATATATAATATATATATATAATATATATATAATATATATATATAATATCCCCATTGAGTTCCTGATGAAGGCTCTTAGGGTATGTGTTGTGTGTGTGTGTGTGTGTGTGTACAGAGCAGATCCACATAGAGTTGCCAGATGTGCACTGTGGCTTTCCCATTCTCTCAAATAATATAATTCCAGATCCCACGCATGAGGCTCTGACTATTGATTGAATTTTCACTGGCTATCTGTTTTCATTTCATGAGGGAAGCATTTTAAATATTAAACGTCCACGTAACTCTCTGATCATTGGCTCGTCACAAAAACGTGCTCGGCCCATTGGAGAGTTCGTTAAGAAGCATTCTACACATACCGTGGAATAACGTGAGCGGAGTGTGTCTAATGAGAACCAGTAGTTCTAAATTGCTTCTATATGCTGAGATCAAGCTGTCTTAATATAGCAGCAGTGACAATGAAAGAGATGTCATGCTGCCACAAGGTACAAAACGCTTCAAGCGCTGGCATCAAAAAGTGACGCCCAATCCCGGATTTTGAGCATGTGCGAATGTGGGCGTGCTTGCTTCACAGACTTACCTTTTTGTTCTACTTCTGCACCAGCCATAGGCAAAAGATTTGAAGAAAAAAAGAAAGCACAAGAGCGAGAAAGAAAGAGATAGAGACAAGAGACAAAAATAGATTAATGATGCAATAATAAGGAAATCATGATAATACAATCTCAGATCTCCATAATCGGCCTCATATTTCATTCTAACCTTGTGAGAGTGCCAGGATGCTCTCCATGTGTGATTGGTAATAACATTACATAAGCGTCTGAGGAGACTGCACTGCAATGGGGAAGCTATTTGACAGTATTCAACTCACATATGTTGCACACGCGCATGTGGGCAGACAGAGATGCACATGTAAGGCAGACACAGAACGAGGGAGGGAAGACAAAATGAGAGCAAACACACAGGAGCATGGCACAACACGCTCAAGCACACATGTTCACGCTGTCCGCGGTGGTCCTCAACCCGGTGCAGGACAAAACAGAGCAATGCAAAATGACCTGAGATAATGAGCTCTTTAATGTATGCTAATAGCGGCGGCGCAATGAAAACCAGAAAATTTATTTGATTACTGGGATTGTTTTTCAGTGGACCAGCCAAAACTGCCACATTAAAATGCTTTCTGGTGCACGGTGGGTGAGCTAATGCTTGGTGTATGTCATGTCATCTTGTGTGCCTCTGAAAATGAGAGTGAAGGCATCTCTTGGGCAAGCAGGAGCATACTAAAAGAGCTGGCTTGCTTCAATCCCAACACCGGTTCCCAGTCTATTACATTCAAAGCATTATCCTTAAAAATCTGCGAGGATTGTTCATGTTGCCCGGCAATGAAATGTGCACAATTGCCTGGAACCTCTTAAACATATGAATTCTATTCCACCTTGGTCCCAGAGGGACTGAGTGGAATGTGAACACGGCAGAAACTTAATCCTGCAGGCAGTGCCCTTGTGTCTTTCAAGACTTAGAGACCTGCTGAAGGGAACTAGTCCCATGAGAAAGGTGTGTGTGGGGGTGTATGTGTGGGTGTGGGTAGGGGAGAGGAGAGGAAGGCAGAGTCTTCAAAGGAAAAACATTTGGAAGAACTTCCAGGACCTCACATGTTTACATATATCACAGATGCACTACATACTGCACGCTGCATGTCTTAATTCTTTACTACATTAAACCCAAAACTTATCCCCAACCACAAGGCATACACAAACACATGTGGCACACAGAACACACACACACCTTCATACACAGGCAACCATTAAATCCTAAGCTCATGAAAAATGCATGGTAACTGGCGCGGCTTAGCACAACTCCCGATAAATAAGCAATCTCCGAAAGAAGATCATGTTAAACCTAAAACAAGTGTGTACATCCGCGTGTGCACGTGTGTGTGTGTGTCCCTGCGAGGTAAGATATAAAAAGGTTCGTCACAAGGAAACAGTTCCCTTGTGAGAAAATCTTGGAAAGAAAGCAGATAGTCTGTCTAGGCAGAGGGGTGTGCACGACGGATATTACACACACTCACTCACACCGGCATCCGTACATATAAATAACACAAAGAAAGGCATCGCGGTGGAGAAGACGAGGATTAATGACACCAAACAATGAGGCCTTCACATTACCTCAGGCTCTTACGGAGCCTCGCAGACACAGAGGAAAACACACAGAGTTCAAGGTTGCCAGCAACTAATAGATTTCAAATGAAAAAGTGTGGCAGCAACAAGTAAACCAAATGGCACACAAAATGTCAGACAAATGTCATTCAATTTGTACTGCTGCTCGTTGTTTCACCAGATTAATGGATATCTCTGTTGGTGAGCTCATTGCGGGGTTGTTCTGCGGTATCTCTCTTTTAATCTTGAGGACAAGGGTAAGAAATGAAAGTTTGTCATAACAGTCATTGATTTTTTTTTTCCTCTCCAGTGCAGACGGTCTGACAGAGCGAATATAGGGTGGTCGGATATTTATTGAAACCTCAAGGTTTTCTCAAGGGCAGCTCGAGCATGCAAGATGATGCAAGAGATGAAAAGTCTTTTGTGCTACTGCTAATTAAACTGCTGAGTGTAGCTAAAAGAGAAAGAGGAGGGAAAAATATGGACTTATGACAACTTGCCAGAAACGCGTCCTTGTTTCCAAGAAAACGTCAACAAGAAAGCATCTTCTCTCACACTGTGTTATTCATAATTGAATTCTGCAGAGGTAGCGGCGTATTTTTATCTATCCAGTATCTTTGACTGATCATTTGCAAAAACCACTAGGACTGCACTATTGAATATTTAGCTATGCAGCTACTGTGAAAAAACAACAACTAATTTATTCCTAGCATGGCTTTGAATGAATATTAGCAATAATGCAAACTGCAACGGTGTGTTGTGAGGATGTGTCGCCTGACTAGTTTGATTTAATAAAAATCATGTAATTATTCATTAATATCTTCAGTAAAATGGTCTGAAAAAATCTGTAATTATACAAACAGCGTTACACCCATACCTTGCATGCCTTTCGTTTTAGTTCATTTCTCTGTTTTCTGTTTCAATTTCTCCTACACCCACCGCACACACACACACACACACACACACACACACACACACACACACACACACACACACACACACACACACACAGAAGCTGTGTTAACCTAACTGTGCTGCTGTGTAAAGATAATTAGCATTTTTATTGAAAATGTATGGTTTATTAAGTAGGTATTCGTCTAGGAGGGAAGACAGTGTGTGCTCACAAGCGTGTGTAATGTGTGTGTATGCGTGGGGGGGCGCCGACATGCCCGTGTGCGTGTTTCTACAGACAACGAGTGGCGACAGCAGCCTTACCACTATCATCTCTGATCTCCAATCAGCTCAGCCGGCTAAAGCCCAAGGTCGTTTATGGGCGCAGACGTTTTCTACTTTCTTTCTCTTTTTCATTATTCTATTCTTTTTCTCCTGTCCTCTCATCCTCACCCGCTATTCTATTGCATTATTTCATCCTGTTCTTTCACCCCTCCCACTCGCCTCGTTCATTCTCTCCCACTACCTCCTCTGTATCTCTCCTACTTCCCCCAAACCAAACCCTGTCCACCTCTCACCCTGTGTCTTTTATCAGTTAATTCATTCTTTCTGTTCCCTGTCTGCTGGCCTCGTCTAACCTATTTCTCTCTCTATCTCTGTTTCAGCTGTCGCTCTGCCGTCTCTCCTTCTGTCTCATTGGTTCCTTTCCCATCTTCCCTTGCTCTCTCTGGGAAACAAAAAAAAATGCCTGCATATGTGCCCACATAAACACACACACGCATATACTGTACATGCATGTACAGAGAGAGACACAAACACACAAGCACTCCCCTCCCACAAAACATGCACATATACACACACACCCACACAAGGAAGCACACAAACAGGGCTTCTCATGTCACTGTGATGAAGTTATTCCAAGGGTCCAATCTGACAGAAGTCTTTAATTGGACAGACAAGAAGGTGATTTTATCTTTTAATTAGCTTTCCTATTGAGCCAAGTTCTATTGTCTAAAATAGACTGCATGGGTATTGCATAACATATCACTGGCTTTTCTGATTAATACACTAAATGTGGGAGTAGGCTAATTGCTTCATAACAGCAGCCAGGAGAGCCAGGGTATACCACATAAAGATGAGGAAACGGATAGACATAATCCTAAGTGTTCCTGGCTTTTTTAACGGACGAACATGAATGAAACAATACGTATCATGTGTCTGCTCTTCAGCAGCACACATTTGCTGAGATTGAATCTGTCCACGCACCAGAGTTGCCTTGGAGAAGTACTTTGTACAGCAGTGTGTTAATGTATGGATATTTATAGTCTGCCTGCAGTGTGATGAGCAAGTATACACAGGTGGCTAATTACTGCCAAAGCTAGCTGGCTAGTTTGGCACACGACTGCCACACACTCGTACCACAGAGAGTCGGAGAGAGAAAGAGACAGCACTTGATTGTAGCTTTGGACAACAGCCAAAAACCTACAGTGCAGTGGAGAGAGATGAGGAGTTTTGAGGGGTAGCGCAAGCCAAAAAAAATCCTTGGGAAAAAAAAAAATTAAATAAAAGGAGGCGAGATGGAGGAGCAAAATTTCCCTGAAAACTGAACCGCACATAATTAAATTACCTGTTTTACAACCCACTTTGAGAATTGTTTACTATATCTATGCAGAGGGAAACGCACCTACTCTACTCGATTGGCAGCGCTCAGGAAAAGTATGCCTGCGCTTTAAAGTCGATCGGCTCATTTCCTTTCCGTGGCGGCTGGCCTGTGATAAGCAACACCTGGCCTTACAGGTGACTGCAAGGGTTCAGGTGGTTACACTCAACAGACAGCACCGCCACCAGCGCGCTCGGCATCAGGGGAGATCTGCTCGAGTGGATCCCTTGACGTTATAGTTATCTGAGCGCACAAAAGCCAAGCCTGCTTATAAATGATGACATATTAAAAATGCAGCTGGTATTCATTTCAGAACAAATTTCATTACACTATCATATAGTGTATCTATCATAAAAGCCCCTCCTCTGTTGAGCCATCTTGATTTACAACACTTTGCAGATATTTCATCACTTATTGTCTAACAAAATGCATCTTTCACCACAATGCCGCTGGCAGCATTGATTTGCGGTGTCAAACGCGCCAGTGTGAATGTTGACAACTTGAAACTCCAGCCCAAATGTCAGGAGTGCCTTCTTCTAAGTTACAAGCAATATTATGACTTTTAAAAAAGAATTGATTTTATAAATATTTGATCCATTCCGTGTGAAGGTTATGTGAAAGGTTTCACTTTTTTTATACATCACATTTTTCCCCTGTTGGACTTTTCCCATGGCTAAGCACACACGCGAGCAAGGTAGTGTATCACACAGCTACCTGATCCAGCCTGAACTCTTCAGTCAGTACACAGCAGATGCTAATGTACTGTCAAAAGCTCTCTCTCTCTCTCCTTCGCTGTCTTTTTCTCCAGTGCATCACCTCCCTCTCTCCATCCCTCCCTCTGTTAGCTGAGCACGCTAATGACTTTGATTTCAGATACTGTGTATTTTCGCGGGGACACTGTTACCCTGACTGACCCATTGTTTATCAGATCCAAAAACACAACTCATCTCCTTTTGCACTCGGCCGTTTTTTAAATCACTATTCTTTACGCTGACAAATCCATTAAATAAGGAGCGCTGTATTTTCAAGCAGGTGTGCGGTTATATCAAATAAAAACACGGAACATGCAGACAAGTCTTGAATGAATGAGAGACGAGTGAAAACACACACTGCTGCAGAGTCTTTTTTGATGCCTGCGTGTATGTGCTGTGCGTGCGTGGTGGGGCATTAAGCAGGTATCAGGTTGTGTTTCCATCTGCTCCAGAGAGGGCTCTGATAGTCCTATTATTTAATCTGCTGGTCATTCTAGACGCCAGGCAAGAGCCGTTTAGCCAGACATAATTGAATGCTTCAGTGTGGGAGATCACCTTGGCCGTCTGTATGGACTGCGGTGCCAAGGCCGTAGACAAATCTAAAGTGCATCTGTTATTTCTTACTTTAGGAGGGCTTTTGCATAAAGCATGTGTGGGTTATGAGGGCAAAATCAAACTTCTTTACATCTCTTTGGAAATTGACTTTTTGATACAAAGAATGCAGAAATAAGCTTTTCAGTTCCAACTCTGTATGTCCTCTTGACTGTATTGCTTAGAACTGTTCTACCACAGTCATGTTTATAGCTTTACAAGCCAGACATGGCTTGTAAAGTCAGGTAATATGAAGAAGAAAACAATTAAAATTAATCTCCAATCCAACCTGACAGCAATGTTTGAAAATATCAAGCGGCGTTTGCTGATAAAATAATATTTTGGCATCGTTACTTTGTTCACCTGAAATTTTTACTTAATGATTAACATACCTCTTCTCATTTCATTGGAGGTGCAATGTCATTTTGACGCATTCTCTTTTCATCTTTTATGCTTCACCTTACTTCTGTCTGGTTTTGTGGGTTTCACATATGCAACTGCAGCCTGAACAAAGTACCTGTAGATGCCTGTTGTGATGGGGAAATGACTGAGGGGCTGGTATTCGCACGAGATTTAACTTTTTCATTAAACAGACACAACCAGCTGCATTCTAACTTTGCTGGAATGTACTGAAAAATAAACATCAAGGACAAAAAAAAAATCTAATCCACTAAGTCATCACGCTGATCCCTTATGCATTTGTTCTGAAGCGAGCTGTAACCCACATTCTAGTGGAAAAGATTTTTAAAAAGCCGCACGACTGTTTCACTCTAGTGAATTTCCCCTCTCAGTCTCTTACCACCTGGTCAAAGGTCACATCACCATCTGTAATCATCTGAGACTGCCCTTGTTTCTCATCCTTGCTACCTTTGACTTTCCCGCAGGGGGGGAGAGGCATAAAATTATAACTTCCACGTAAAGTTACTGTGGGATCAAGCTGCTGAAGTTTTTGCTGTGAATGCTGCTGCCTGGCATAACAAAAACTGCAATTTATTCATATACTGAAGAGTAGTGAACTATTTAAAAAAAAGAGAGAGCGAGAGGGTACTTACTGTAAGGAACACACTCATACTGGACTTCGAGGTATTTGTATGTGCCGGGGCAGGGATCGGGAAAGACGTCGGGGCCGGCCACCACAGCACACTGCGTACGGTTGTTGCATCTACATAGATAGATGGGATAGATGGATAGCGTCAGTTGAAAACATCCACAAATCAATTGAAAGACCTGTAACATGATACAATTCAGCGGCACCACAAACTACATTTTCCAAAATGATCGCGCAGCTGAATCAGCCTTCTCTAAAAGGTTTAAAACAAAAACGGAACACCACAGCCATCGAGGAGCCAGGATTTATTGGAGGGCTGTTGTACTGGAGTTGCATCATTTTTTTTTTCAGCTGGAGCCCAAGCACGCTACGCCGCAAAACGCATATCCTGATATCATGTGATATAATGTAGAGCGAGATCTATTTTATCCGCCGAGTCATCCTGACACTCGAGAGTCTTCTGTGCTTAAGGACCCTTCATGTTGACACTAGAGCAGATGATACGGCCTTACCCGGTACCTGAAGTGAACATAACAGTAATGGATTCACCGAGTTCACTTGTACACAAAGGTGGCCCACAATGGATACAGAAGTGCTGTGGCACAAGGACACTTCTGCGTTGAATGTATGTGGGTGTCTGTGTGTACCTGCACGAGTGTGTGAAGCACTGACGGCAATAACCTATACCTTTAAGATTATTTTGCCCCAGACTTTAGATAATTAATTCTAATTACCAGGGGGCCCTCTCCTCTGACACACAAAAAGTAAGTATTACTCACTCTTATTAACACAGGTTATGCAAGGCAGCACACGATGTAGTATATACCCTGTGTGTCTTTTAGGGTTTCTGCTTACAGGTGTGTATATGAGCACCTGTGAAAATACATACGTGTCAGTTTCACTGAACATTTGAAAGCTGCTCGTCACAACCACAAAAGATTTGCTGGTGCATATGTTATGATGATGCATGCATGTAATAACATAAAACGCACACTTTATCTTTATCTTCCAAGTTTAAACGAGCTACAAAAGCACACAACTGAAACATATTTCTTATACAAGAATAGCAACAACAGACAAATGAGAAAAAGCTATTTTTAAAATGCTTTCATATTAATTAGCACAACTTCTCTTTCCCTCTGTGCACACCTGTCATACAGAAGACATTTACATTCAAAACATTCAGATTCTCCCATTGAGATATTTTTAATGAGCATACAGAACCCCCCAAGTCACTTTTCCTACAATACCATTCAACAATTTGCATAATGAAATATTCATAGGAGCTAATTTAATTATTAGTTCAATATTCACATGTAACACAGAGAACTAATGTAGCCTAGAAAGAACTAACTGCCTTAATTTTTTTAGCTCGGCGTCTCTCGCTGACCAGCGTGTCTCAGATCACGTGAGGGTTTATTGGAATTTGTGATGGTTTCAAAGTCTTTGTGTTGTGAAGTCTGTCATAATCTAACAATACCCACCCATCTTCTCTCCCTCCTCTCTTTTTTCTCGCCTCTGTGCTTTTTAATTTCTTGCCCTGGTACCTTCATCATCGGTCACCTGTCATCAGTGCGAGCTGTGGGCTGAGGGGGGGGGGCAGGGGACACAAAACTGACACAGTGCCACAACTTTGCTCACAGCACCCACCAAAGGTCACGAATGGCTGGCACTCACTGGTGAATCAGAGCACAAAACTCCCTTTAACGACCTCACATAACTTTCTAAAGTTAAAAAAAAAACCCAACAACTAGCCGCTAGTTATGATGTCTTCACACTGAAGAGACACAGTGGCTGAGAAAGCTCAACATAAGAAAAGAGATGGAGCCAGCCAGGAATTGCTGTGAATCTAAGCTTATTTGCTGAAAGCACAAATGAATAGCCAACTTTAATAGCTTCAAAAAGTCACAAAACGCATCTATCTTCTTATCACGTGGGCAACTTAGAGCTCGTGTCTGGAAATATTTGCGGTGCTAGAGATGTCAACTTGATGAATGTTTTCTTAGTTATGTTATGTTTCGAGTGTTTGCATGTGTTATCGTGGGCTGCGGCACTTTGAACTCTCCGATTCACTGAAGTGACAACCCGTCTGAAAAAAAAGGAGTAAAATATTCCCATAAATGTTTATGTTTCATGTCTAAGTCCTGTAAGATTTCCATATCTCACACGATGATTTACACATGGAAGTGACATCACCTTTGATCACCTGTAGAATTATTTTGTGCCAAAAAGTGCAAAAAAGGTGCCACTTTCATGAGTAAACCATAATATGAGACACAAATATTATAGAAAACACATAATAGTGAAAACATTAAAATCGAACAAGTTTTTTTTTCTGTTTCTTGTACATATTGTTAAAACTAACAACTGAAATCAATATATATATGTAATTTATTACACTATATAGTGTAATAAATTACATTAAATCATGTATGCCTGATCCAGGGAACACGGGCTGAAGAAAACAACAGATAAAAATGAGTTTAAGGAAAAACTGAGAGACATGTTAGGCTTTGCAGTAGCCATGGGTATAGGTAATTGTCAATATATTTCTGCTTCAGGTAAAAAAAAAAATGGCTCAGGGCTCTCATGGCTGAATCATGAGCACTGAAGGTTATGGACTATTATTTTAAATAAAAGCTATCGAGCAAAGATTTGGCATAATCTTCTCTTGCGAGCTATATCTCTCTGCTATCACTCCTTCTTTCTCTGTCTATTTCTGTCTGCACTACCTTTTTTCTTCCTCCCCACACTCTCTAAGCCAAGATAATAAACCAATTTCTTTTTTCAGCCTTTGTCCTCATCCTTCCCGCCTAGGAATTATTCCTCACTGTTCCTCCTTCTTTGTCTCTCATTCCAACTGGCTGTTTTTTCCGTCTGTTTATCTGTCTTAAACCCACTTAGCTGCAGTTTCCTAAGTCACACCCAGATATATGTGGTAGGCCGCTTATTGCTGCTGCCGTTCTCTCTTTTTCTCTCCTTTCTCCCTGCTTAATACTTTTCTCATCCCCGCCTCCCTCAGGGCGTCATCTCCAGCCTCCCCCTGTTTCTCTCTCGATCCCTCCATCCTTAGTAAAGCCTCTGCTGACGTCACCGTTCTGTCTGAGCCAGTAGTCTGAGTCAGGTCCAAAAAAGACTCCCTTATGTTCCCAGTACCTCCATCTCATTCTTTATTTGTCAACATTACTCTCATTTCCTCACTGCCAACATGTTTATCCAGAAGCCTAACAAAACACGAGAACATCAGCAAAAATGTACAATTCCTGTCCTCTCTGCATTGTGACCCATGATTAATGGAGGAGATGCAGAACATGCGCACACACACGCGCACCTTTAGAATTGTTTTTTTTTTCCCAAACACCAAAATGGCTCTATATATTTTTTTCTCTGTGTTTTTCTTAGAGTTGGCAGAAAAGCTCCTTTTTTTTAATTAGCATGACCACATCAAAACAAGGCAGTGGCCTGGATACCGCCTGGCCCGCTGGCTTTCTTCCTTGCAACGTGCAACACACACATGCACACGAACAAACTATTCACTAACAAAGCCGAGCTGTGGCAGGCAGGGAAAGAGAAAGCTGCTATGCTGCAGTGGGTGCTGCTGTTGTTCTTGTCTCTGATGTTTTTCACTTTGTTTGGCAGACCTCCCTTCACTCCATCTCTGTCTCTATCCCTCATATAACTGACTGATGATTTGATGAGGCTGACGCTGCCTGTTGGAGCGTGTGTGGGGTATGTTTATGCATATGTGCAGGCGCATGTATGTCTGTGAGCAGATGCAAAATGGAATAAATATTTGAGTGTTTGTCTGCGAGTGTGTGCGCGTTTGTGCGTGTGTGAGTGTGTGCGTGTGCTAGAATGCAGATGTGTTGAAGAGCTATATAATTACAGAACAAGAGAGAGCTGGGAACTAATCCTTGTGAGTTGAAAGAAGTGTCTGAGAGTGAGTGACGCATAAAGCTTCTCCAAAGTCCTCTGGAATCAGTGTTCGAATACAGTGAAACCACTCCAGAGCACTCTGTGAGTCATCTACAACTGTTTGTGAACATGCTTAACACACACAAACGTTCTGAATATCATTAATCTAAAAAAAAACCCCAAAAAACCACTGAGCTTAAAAAAACAATTAAATGAACTTGAAGATACTTGAACTGGACTAATATAGACATACATGTATAGAAACTACTCATTTCTTTATGTTTTTCTAGGAAAATGGGAGAAACTGACTTTCTACTATTCCAACAGTCTTGAAAGTTAATACTTTGTACGACCGCCTTTATTATTCAACACAGCCTGAAATTTCTTTGACAAGCGTTCTTGTAATTTCTTTAGCATTCGTTTTCCAGGTTCCTTGAAGGACCTTCCGAGCTCATATTTGGATGATGGCTGCCTTTCGTTTCATTCTCTGTCAAGATGATTCTTCGCTGCTTCAGTAATGTTCTGGGAAAGCCAATCCGACTGTTCCACTGTGTGTTTTTCTATCCAGGTATGCTTTTACTGCATTGGAAGTGTGTTTGGGATCATTGTGATGCTGAAAAATGAAGTTGTTGCCAATCAGTTGCTTTCCAGATTGTATTTCATATCTGCATTCATGATTCAATCAGCTTTGACAAGATCCCCAACACCAATGGCTGAAATACAACTCCAAACCACGACAAAGACTCCATCTTCTTTTACAGATGGCTGTAGACACTACTTGATCTCCTCCATACATATTGATGATATGAACCAGAAATTTCATATTTAGATTCTGCTCTCCACAAAACCTGTTGCTACTCATTTTCGTCCATTTCTTGTTTAAGCGTCTTTTCTTTTTGACCGCGTCACTTCCACTGAGACTATTTCTGAAGACCCTTCAGTGAACAGTCATTATTTTCCCTGTGTCTTAAGGATGTTTTCTCTTTTTTTTTGTTCTCCACTTGTTCAAATTCCTCATTTTTTTTAAAGGCTGCACATCATGCTGAGATATGTCAGTTTTTCAGCTAAAAGCTCTTTGGGAATCACCTTGTTAGTTTAAAAATCTTATTTTATGCCCTTTTCTTAGACTCAGTTAAAGAAATGCAAATAAGGTTCTGGTCACCACTAATATTAGTGACAAAGTGACAATATATACCATT